GGCGGAAGAACATGTGGAGCAGGGGAGAGTGCCCAGGACCCTCAGCTGATGCTGCAGGGCTGGATCCTGCCCAGATCCCACTGCTGCAGCTAGGGATCCTTGGGAAGCCCCTGCACCCATGGCACAGCAGACTGCAAGCAAAGACCCATCTGTAGGAGGGCACCAAGAAGAAACCCCCAAACCGAGCAGCCACTTGCTATTTTTAACCGGCCTCTTGGATTGTCATGACTAAGGGCCACTCTACCCAGGCTGGATGGGCATGGGGCAGCTTGGCACAGCTCAGCACACCGGGGCTGCCAGAAACCACAGGGATCTGCTCACCCAGCACAGCCACATCCCATGCTGAGCATCTTCCAGCTGCATCCTGCAGCCATGCAATGGATGCTTAGCCCCAAAAATCTCCACCAGTGAGTGCCCTGAAATGCAAAACACATCTCAAGACCCCAAATGCTGCGGGGAAAGCCCCAACACAGAGGAGACCCCACTCCTGGAACAGTCACTGGTTAATTATTTGCACTTGGCAAAGTGGGGACAGAGAGAGCAAGACATTCACAAGAGCTCACAGAGCCAGTGGAGCAAGCCTTCTCCTTCCTTCCAACACCAACCATGCCCTGCAGGAAAGATCCTGGTAGGACGCACAAGGGCCATCCAAACTGGGACCAAGTCATCAGCCAAGCCCAGGGATGCTTTGCAGCTGGTTTGCACACAACCATGGCAGATATGGCCTCAAATAGCACCAAACCCTGAGCCCAGCCATTATTTCAGCCTCCAGACTCCTCCTCAATGGCCAGCAGCTGGGCAGAAGCTGTCAGCATCTCTCATGAACCCCGCCAGGCTGCGCCGGCCGCGCTCAAGCAACATCCTCCAGTTCATCCTATTAATAGCAATGCCCTCCGGGAGCTGCACCACCAGCTATAATAATAAAGCATATGATGTTTATTTCTGGACATAATGTTCCTCCTTTTGCAGCAGGCAGAGGCTGAGGCATGCCGCGTTGCCAAGGTTTTACCGGCCCTGGACTCTCCGTGCCACAGCAATGATTAACACAGCAGCGCATGCCTGCTGCCGGCCGGGGGGATGCCTCCATGGCCCCTCGCCTCCTGCATCCCAGGGCTGGTGGCAGTGAGAGTTTTCCTTGCCTTTGGATTGGCCACGTGCAGGGTTTGCATCCCAGAGAAGGAGTGAAACCTGGGGAAGCTGCTGGTGCACAGGGATTTCTCCTGCTGGTGCGGTGCCTCCACCTGAGCATCACTGGGAGGGCACCCATGCTGCCGCCCCAGCACCCAGCCTAGCATGCTCCAGAAACGGTGCCCAAAAAGTGCTTTTTTTTTGCAAAACCCTGTGTGACTCCAGGAGACGTCCTGTTCCAGGGGACCGGGTCCAAAACACCCACCCAGACACAGGGAAAACCCAACATCTTTGGGCTTTTTTGAGAATGGGCGCCATTTTCCAAACTCTCAGAGTGAACACAGGCTCAACACTCCTCAAACATCCCAAAAAGCAAATAGATACTCCCTTCTCCCTTCCTATGTAGGCTGGGAACAGCTGGAGGTCTCCCAGGACCTGACCCAGAGCATCCCAAATTCCCATAGCATCTTCCCATGGAGTCCACGCCATTACAGGACAGAGCAGATGATCCAGTGGGATTTTCTCCACTGCCCTCAGTGGCCACCAGCACACAAGTTTTCAGCTCTGGCGTGTTTTTCCCCCCTCTACCCCAGCAATGGAAAGATTCCTCAGATCAGTGGGTGCATGACTGGCCAGTGGGAACATCTGTGGGAGGAAAGGGACAAGGCCAAGCCATGAAACCCACTGATTTAAGGAATAAAAACAATCTTTAGCTGCTCCAGGAGGGTATTTCCCAGGAAATATTAAGAACCCGATGGGCCAGGGATTGCTCTCCTCCATTTGACCCCCATGTCCCCTCCTTTGCTGCATACATGAATTAGTAGCCCATCTTTATGGCTATGTTTGGGCTTGGGGGTGCTGTTTCTCCACCTTGGCTGGGGCACAAAGTCACCAAAAAGCACCCGTGGGCTCTGTCCTAAGCACGGGGCTGAGTGATGGGCATCGCCCAAGAACCACGCTGGGACCGAGCGGCTGCCTGGCCTCTTCCTCCTGGGAAAGCTCCAGTGGCTGTTTGCAAGTCCAGAAGCTGAGCTCCTGCCACCTTTCTGCCAAAAATGGCCATTTGGGGACATTTTCAGCCATTTTTGCAGTTCAAAAGGGAATTGGTGCAAGCAAGGCCTCCAGGCAGGGAGCCCACAGTCCACCGTGCCTCAGTTTCCCCAGCAGCTCAGCCTCACTCCATGCACCTTGGGTGGCTCCTGGGGTTGGATCTGTGCTTGCAGGGTCAGGTCTGTGGCCATGCACCCCAGCACCCCGCTGCCTGGATATGTTCTGGTGAGCCCCCTGATCCCAGCAAACACCACAGTCAGTTCGCAGGGTTTGGATCAAACCCAGCTTTAGGGTTAGGGCATAGGGACAGGGATGGACCCCACAGTAACTCATGGGAACACCAAACGGGGATGATTTGCCTGTCGCTCCCCACCACTACAGGGCACCCTATGTTCCCTCACCCACTAGCCCCATACCTGTCTGAGCAGTGTGCCTTCGTCCAGGGCATCCTGGCGCTGCTGGGCGACAGTGACACCGAGCACCAGCGTGTGGATGCCGCAGGAGATGGCGGTGATGAGCACGATGGGTGCCAAGCGCAGCGGCAGAGTGATGAAGAAGGAGAAGACGAAGAAAGACTGCCCGCCCACCGTG